AAGTCCAGCTCGGACCATGCAAACCTCTGGCCTGGCGGCGCGCGAGCTGGCGCCTCCCTGGGCCTCCCGGTGGCCTCCTGGGGTCTCCGTGGAGGCCTCCCGCGGGGCCTCTGCTTGGGGGCCTCTGGGGGTCTCCGTGGAGGGCCTCAGCCTCCTGGGGTCTCCGGGGAGGCCTCCCGTTGGCCTCTTGGGAGCCTCCTGGGGTCTTCGTGGGGGCCTCAGCCTCCTGGGGTCTTCGTGGGGGCCTCCGGGAAGACTCTCGGGGCCTCGTGGGGGCGCGTCGGGGGCCTCTTGGGGGCTCTGGGGGTGATCTGCTAGTAAGGCTGACCTCATCTGACCTCGTCCTCCTCCTCCTCGTCCTGAGGACGAGGAGGACGAGGACGACGAGGAGGAGGACGAGATAAGCAGCTCATCTGACCTCATCAAATTAGTGAGGCTGCACACCACCCGCCCGGCCCGGCCGCCCCGGCCAAAAAAGCCAGGGGGAAGGGGGGGCGGAAGCGCCGAGCGCGGGCAGGGACGCCCGACAGCTAGGGGGGGAACACCCCCGCGGACGGGGAAGGAGAGGGGGCGGAGCAGCCAGGCAATAATTACAATGCTTCCCCCCGACACGCCAAAAGTGACTACCTACCAGACCACCCCAACCCAACCCGAAGACCCGAATTTCGGGTTGGGGGGGGTAAGGGTTCCATACGTGTTTTTTCGATGTTCCGCGACCCCCCCCACAACTAGAAATGGAGGGTAAATCGAGACCTTCGGGTTGGGTTGGGGTGGTTTGGTGGGTGGTGAAAAAGCATGCCGTAAGCTCTTGCGGGAAAAGCAACACGCTGCTTCGCAACGCCGGCCCGGGGCAGGAGAGACCGGGGCGAGGGAGACCGGAGGGGGCAGGAGAGACCGGGAGAGGAACCGGAAGGCGGAGGAGGCGGGCGCGCGGCCGTGGGTCCTGCCGCCGACCCCCACCGTCAGGCGCGCGCCCGCATGGGGAGGCAAGGGGCGGGAGAACAGAAGGAAGGGAGGGGGGGAGAGGGAGGGGAAGAGGAAAGGAAGGGAAGGGAGAAGAAAAGGAGGAGGGAGGGACGTCGAAAAAGAGTGGCCGGGCAGGAGGGGCCAGTTCGGGGTCTCCTCTTGGGCCCCTCTTGCGGCCGTCTTGGGGGCATCTCGGGGTCGTTTGGGGGGTTACTGTGCCATCTTGGGACCTCTTGGGCCGTCTTGAGGCCGTCTTGGGGACCTGTTGGGCTGTCCAGGGGCGGTCTTGGGGGCCTTTTGGACCGTCTTGGACGCTCGACAAACCGACTAAGCGATACGGCAAAAATCAGACCAAAACCCAAAAAGGGTTGTTCGATTTGGGCCTTTGGGGGCCTCCTGGGGAGTCCTTTTGGGGCCCTCTTGAGCCGTCTGAAAGACCTCTGGGGCCGTCTGGAGCCATCCTGGGCGTCCTTCCGCGCTCTTGGGCCGTCTCGTGCGCCTGGACCCTCTTCGTAGACTCCTGGGCCTCTTTTGGCCCATCGTGGGGCGATGTGGGAATTTAATACTCCCCCACCCCCACCCTTGCCAGTCGGACCCAAGGCCAGAAGAACATCCTTCAAGAACATGAACCCTCCGTCGGCCAAAACAAGCACCAGGGTACCCTCCCCGAGATATATGCATATATACATATACATGTCATATATATATATAGACACATACATACATACATACATACATACATACATACATACATACATACATGCATGCATGCATGCATGCATGCATGCATGCATACATGCATACATGCATACATACATACATACATGCATGCATGCATACATACATACATGCATACATACATACATACATACATACATACATACATACATACATACATACATATATAGATCGGCCCGACAGTACAGGACACCTTTTTAACACATAGGATGTGTTAATATTATAATTCTTAATACATGGATTATCTATGAATACATGTATGCATGAACTCATCGTTGTCTTTAATGCTATATCCCTGCATGTTCAATACATGATCCGCACGCGCAGCATGTATTGAAAACGGCACTGTACCCAGGCAGGGCCACCTCGGCACACACACACACACACACACACACACTCAAGCGGAGCTCAAGGTCAGGCTGTAGCTCCAGCAGGTCTGACGCCCGACCGGCGCTTCTTCAACCTCACACGCCGGACGGGCGGACTCTTGTCACGACGCGACGGGGTCGGGCGTTGGCGGGACTGGGCTTTGAGAGACCTGGCGCAGTGGTGTGCAATCATGCCGGGGGACGACCCCGCGCCCCGTTCCACTTAATGCCGCGAACGCTGCCAACTGAAGGAACACCAACTATTACACAGCAGACGCTGTTCAATGATCCTGGCCAACTTGGGGGGCTCCAAGGCCCAATCACGAACCAGCAACCCTTACCCGGGGTCCTGACTGTATCAGATTCCAGCGTCATGATTAATGCATGACGTGACTCCCAGCGGACCCCTCCCCACGGACCGGCATCTCATCCTGAGTTGCTGTTGACACTCCCGAGGCCTGGCGAAGGCCCCCAAAGACCGAACGTAGCATAGCGAAAAATCATCCGTTGTTTTTGCTCCCCTTCGAGTGGGTCTGGATTTTGGGGGGGCGCCCTGGGAGGCAAGGCGACCTACGAAGGAGCAGCGCCGGCGCGCGTTCGGGCCCCAGCGTCACCCGGGTAGTCGGGCCGCGCGCCCTGCGCCTTCTCCCTGTGGGCGTACATGGGGCCTCGAGGGAGGAGCGAAGATGCGAGAGAGGAAGGTGGAGGGAGGAGGAAGGAGAATGAGGAAGAGGAGGCACGAGAAGGAGGGGGAGGACGAGGAGAAGCAAGAGGAGGAGGAAGGGGAGGAAGAGGAGGATGAGAAGGACGACGACGACGACGACGACGACGACAAAGAGGACGAGGACGAACACGAGGAGGAGGAGGAGGAGGAGGAGGAGGAGGACGAAGACGAGGAGGACGACCACAGCGAGCACCGCCGAAGGCGTCAAGACCCCACGTGGGGCCTTAGTCACCGAAGCCACGGTCTCAACGGCAGGGACATGCGGCGGGTTCCCCAATGGCTGCAGGTCCTCGTGGGGGTGTCCGTGCGCTCCGTCGGCGGGTGCCACCCGAGCAGGAGTCTGTGTGACTCGGTGCAGGTGACAGGCCGACAAGCCGACTGGCCGACAGACAGACAGACAGACCGACAGGTCGACAGGCAGGCACATGGGCACACAGACAGACAGACCGACCAAGAGACGGAGGCAGACCGACCGACGGATCGGCCGACCGACCGACAGACCGACAGGCCGACAAACCGACGCACAGACATACAGCAGCAAGGCAGACACGCAGACATACGGACAGACCGACAGGCAATCAGACAGACCGACAGGCAGGCAAACAGTCAAACTGACAGACGGACCGACCAACACACCCAGGCAGAGCCCCACAGTTCGCCATAACGACAGCCTGAAAATACCTCGAACTCCAAGCGTTCTCACATGCCGCTCTGTGTTCAGCACGCCCTCCCCTCGTCCAACCACATCTAGCACCCAGCTCATTCACTATGTCGTTACATTGCCACACAGCGGGGGTCCAGACAGGCAGGTCCCTGAGGTCCTTCCACGCCAACTTGTCTGCTGGGTGAGGCCTGCCGGAGCCCTGGACGTCGAACGGTGGGTCCTTCGCGGATTATGTGTCTCCATGTTGCGTGCATCCCGCGCAGTGGGCCATCACCGCTGAGTTATCGTTGTCCGCCTCGCACTGCTAAGGGATGTCGCTAGCGACGCGGGCATCGACGGCGGCGCACGAGGTAGCGATCTGCACCGTCTCCGCGGCAGGCTTCGTCATCAACAGGCTCGTCCACACGCGGAACGCGTTGCGTCCAACCTATTGATGGCGGGTCGCCACCATCTCGGCCAAGCGCATATCTACGGCAGCGGCGTCCCCGTGACCCCTCCGATCCGACGTCCGCTGAACTCGGTTCTTCAGAACCGAATAATAAATCAGATCGACGTCAGGCCAGCCTCCATCCTGTCCTGATTCCGCAGGTGGTGGTTCCAGCTCCTGTTGCTGTCGAAAGATGCACATGCTCTCATCCAGCGCCCGCTTCGTCTCGAGCCCCGCCGTCTCCTGCTGCATCTTCTAGATGCGAAGCTTCCCCACGGTGGGGTCCCCACGTCCAGAATGCACGCCAATGGTAGACGGCGCCACTGGAAAATATCCCCCAACTGGATGAGGTCATCGATGACGACCCAGCCAGGGGAGCGCTGGCTTGGAACCGCGCGGCTGCGTCGTAGCGACTGGGTCGGCGGTCGCATCGTCGTCGACGAACTCCTGAGCAGGTGGCCGAGCAGACGTAGATGCGGCAGCTCGTCCTTCGGCCCTGAGGCCCTGAGGCCTTAGGCTTTGCCTCGAGCGTTGCCTTGGGCAACGATGGTGTCTCAGGCTGGCGCGGCCGATCACCTGCTGGGCGGTCCTCGGGCGCTCCGCCTGGCAATCCACCACTGGGATCCTCTTCGCGCTCATCATCGCCATCACTGGAGTCAACCTCCATGGCTTCCTCCGCCTGCTTGATCTCGCCCTGTTATCCTTCCTCAGGCGGCGTCTCTGGCGCCTCGGCTGCTTTTTTGATCAGAGGTCGAGTGCGCCTGCCGAAAGCAATTCGACCCTTTGATCCCTCGGCAACTTCTCCAAGTCCCTTTGATCCCTCGGCAACTTCTTCCAAGTCGGCCAGCACGCAGAAGTCGGACATCTTGTCCTTGAGGGCACATTTGACCCGATGGATCCGCACCCGCAGCATCGTCTTGAAGCATCGGTTCCAAGCGTTCCAGGTGTGGAAGTTGCATGACGACTAGGAGAACTGACTAAGCTGCAAGTCCCGCGTGGCCAACTTTGTCACCTTCAGCCACGTGTGGGGCCACGATTTCCGCGACGTTGATCTCGAGCACTTCGAGGTGCTTTCTCGCTTGACTGAGGCCTGTCTCTGTTTCACGTCGCTGCTGCACCAGAGTACTCACGGCTTGCATCAGTTCCAGGTCGAGGTCGAGCTTGATCTGATGAGCATCAGCACGAGCACGACTGCCTTCTGCGCGTAGAGCGGCAATCACCTGCCCCCGAGACAGCGGCCCACCTCCATGCCACCACGTTGTCCGCGATGCCATTCAGCCGACGAAGCTCCGCCACGATATTATGACTGGTGGCCATCAGGAGCGTCACGTGGCCCCGAAGACGGTGAATATTCGGGAGACACTCCGAAGGCATCAATTCTGCAGGAGCGGCACTGGGGAGGAATCTGGCTCTCCACCCGCTCGTTCAGTGTCTGGTTACACTCCTCAACCTTCTGGGCTCGTTTCTCGCTCTTGGTCTTTTCCTGCCACGGGATGACCATCGCCAGCGTCCATAATCGGCTTGCGGTTCACCTCGTCGGTCTCAGAGCCCACGCGAGCGGCGACACCACGGCCCCTCGAGCTCTCGAAGCGATGCCGAGCGTAGACTTGCGAATGCTGGTCAACTCACGCCGTTGACTGCGCATCTCCTCGTCGGCGTCAGAGATTCCTTGATCACCCGTGCCCGCGAGGTCCACGTCGCACGCCTCTGGTCGCGTCTCCTCCAGAGCTCCCCGAGGAAAGCCCCGACGCCACTCATGCACTAGGGTCGCCTTCTGTCCCTCTCGGCGCCGCTAGAAGGGAGCCGCGCTGGGGCGATCGGAGTCAGGCGCAGCTAGTGCCGAGCCCTCGGCGGGCGACGAGGCGAAAGCCTGCCTCACAAGGCTTTGAAAACGATCCCAGGGCCATCGGCCGCTCCAGCCGATGGTCCACCCGAGCTGGCATCCTTTGAGTCCACCGTGGCGCAGGCCTCCTCGCAGTCGTAGAACTCCTCGTCGCCGTCGAAGGCCACCTGCTCTTCTCCCGAAGTGGCGGGCCTGAGCAGACTGTCCAACTATCCTGGTTATGATTCCTTGGGCGGCGCGGCCCCGCGGGCCTAGGGGGCCTGGCCGCGGAACCAAAGTCGCAGGCTGCAGGCGGCGGCGCAACATAACATGACGGCATGGATCCAACAACTGCGTCAATGCGAAGATAATTGAAGACGTCGCATGCAGAAAGAGCAGATGCGGTCGCGGGCCGAGTCGAGGAAGCGGAACGCATCGGGGGTGAAGGATGAGACGCATGAGATAATTAGGCGGCAGCCGTAAGAATAATCTTCGAAATGTCGGTATCGGATTGCGTTCGCCAGTAGCCAATCGATCAGCTTTTCTCCGTTCCATTTCTTCCTTCTCTCCAGTAATGCGAAATTTAGTTGTCTGCACTAGTTGTAATAGTGACTGCACGTTGCCCTTCAGCTCCAGTCTAACCATCCGCGGGACTAAATTCTGGTGGAATCCAACGACACTGTCCACAAAGATTTCCCAGAGAATCCCGAACGACCGCTCTCTCCTCGGCAGAAGCAAACTGTTCCCGACTGATACAACCGTTCAACGACATGCAGTCGGCCACGGTGAAAATATGCAGGTCGGGGTTCTGCTCCACGAGCGCCGTCGCTCGGATGTCTCGGCTAATACCACGCGGGCCCCAGAGCTCACACCGGAAAACCCTCAAACAGCAAAATCCAATAGATAACCCATTCTGCCTCGACCAGCCCTTCGGACATGGCGCTGGCGTTCGGAATTTCCAGCACGCTCAGTCTTGCGGGAGTGCCACGCGATGGTACTATAGTATGCCTCTTTGCCGGCAAGCAGGCCCTGGTCTGCGGCGCAGATCACGCTGCCTGTTCGACAACGCCCCTGCCCCGCACCCACGAGGTCCAACCCAGGAGTCGCACAAAGCGACCAGACGGAGTCGAGAGAAGGGCATGGACTTGATGGTGACTGTCGCAGATGCGTCCTTGAGGCGCCGCAGAGCGGCGCTGGCCTCGATGGGATATTTCACCTTGGACTTGGGCAAAGCGCTGGGCTGATGGGGGGGGGAGATGGTATTCCCTGAGAAAGAGTTCCGGTTTAGGTTCGGGCAATAGGAGAACCAAAAGCTCGAGTTCGAAACCCAAGGACCCAAAGTTCGAAATAAGCTCAAGACGGCCCCCTGGCAAAGCGGCGTCTTTTTCTGAACTTTTGGATTTGGGAACTTTGGAACGTTTTGAAATCCATGTGTTCCAACATGGTTCATTGTTTCAAACTTCTCTGAACTTGCTTTGAACCTCCGATGCGTTCTAACTCTCTTGAACTTCCCCTGCAAGTTTGACATTGATTCGAACTTGTTCCTCGCCGCCGAGCGCAGTCTGATCGCTCTTCCGACCTTGATCCCCGAGGCCGAACTTTTTCCTGGACTCGTTTCTCGCCACCAAACTTCTCCAAGCTCATCCAGACTGCAGGCTTCCAGCAACGCTAAACTCGAACTTTGTAGAAATGTTGGCCTCACACATTTCCCGAAGTTAAGATATCTAAACATAAGGACAGTTCGCGCCCCTCAGCCTGTCACAGGCAAACTGCTGCTCAGGAGAGACGCGTCTCCGGGGCCGTCGAGCACGCCCCCTCGGCGCGCCCAGCTGAATTCCCTACGCAATCCACGCGCGGCAACAACTTCCCCTGGCGTTGCCGGGAGCCCTGGACCATTGCAGCGCCCGCGCGGAAAGTCAATCGGTCGCGCCCGCCCTGCGGGATACCGCGCCACAGACCGTGAAATAGAAATTCTGGTGTCGGCGCAGAGTACGTCCGCCACACTCAGCAACGTCACCCATGAGCGCTGTC